CACAGGTAGAGGAAGTGATGAAATCGTCTCTCTGGGCACATTCCATCCCAGAGAGAGAAGAAAGAAGACACTGCGAGTAAAACTGCACACTTGCACACAGAACACTTTAGGACACATCTTAACCCCTTGATCGCCCCCCCCCCCCCCCCCCCCTCCCCCAGTTATTCCCTTCCCTTATTGCCTTGTCACCAGTGTCATTAGTACAGTGTACAGACTTTGTGCTGATCAATGTATTGGTGTCACCCCCGGCGACTTCAGATAGAGATAGCGTCAGATTGCCCATCAGTACACCAATAATCACATTTAACCCCTTGATCGCCCCCCCCCCCCCCCCCCCCCCCCCCCCCCCCGTTATCCCCTTCACTGCCCTGTTACCAGTGTCATTAGTACAGTGTACAGACTTTTTGCTGATCACTGTATTGGTGTCACCGGCGACTTCAGATAGAGTTAGCGCCAGTTAGCGCCCCTCCCAGATAGCGTCAGATTGCCCGTCAGTACACCAATAATCACATTTAACCCCCTTGATCGCCCCCCCCCCCCAGTTATCCCTTTCACTGCCCTGTTACCAGTGTCATTAGTACAGTGTACAGACTTTGTGCTGATGACTGTATTGGTGTCACCAGCGACTTCAGATAGAGATAGCGTCAGATTGCCCGTCAGTACACCAATAATCACATTTAACCCCTTGATCGCTTCCCCCCCCCCCCCCCCCCCCCCCCCCCCCCTTATCCCCTTCACTGCCCTGTTACCAGTGTCATTAGTACAGTGTACAGACTTTTGCTGATCAGATGTATTGGTGTCACCGGCGACTTCAGATAGAGATAGCGTCAGATTGCCCGTCAGTACACCAATAATCACATTTAACCCCTTGATCGCCCCCCCCCCCCCCAGTTATCCCTTTCACTGCCCTGTTACCAATGTCATTAGTACAGTGTACAGACTTTGTGCTGATCAATGTATTGGTGGTGTCACCGGCAACTTCAGATAGCGTTAGCGACTCAGTTAGTGCCCCAGATCCTTGCCCAGATAGCGTCAGATTGTCCGTCAGTACAACAGTCATCACATTTAACCCCTTGATTGCCAGGAACAGGCTCACATACACAATAAACCTTCATTGATAGTGTCTGAACGGATCAATATCTTTGATCAGCACTATACCAGCGTCACATTAGTATAGCGTCACCAAAAACGCAGCGTTAGCGGGATCAGCCCCGGAACCTGCGTTAAGCCCCTATGCTTACCCCCCCCCTTCTCCCCCCAGCAAGTGCAGTGTCAGTAGGTTACTATCTCATGATACATTACACACAAAACCGCAGTGTTCGCAGAATCAGGCCTGATCTCTGTTAGCACTTGCTGGTAAATTTTTTTTTTGTAGCGGTTCAAGCAGTCCCTGACAGCCAGGTGCTCTTTTTCCCGTGAGTCGCACTAGGTACCTATAAATTTGGTGGCCAAAATGTCAATGGAAAGGAATTCTGAGCATGTCAGATGACAGCGAAGGGGAAGCCTCACTGACTCAATCAGCCTCAGAATACAAACCTGTAGACAGCAGCGGCACCCTGACAGATAACTCAGACAATTGAGAAGAGGTCCCTGCTAAGATCAGGCATACCTGACCCCATTCCCAGGTTGCTGAGATGTTACAAATGCATGCTGACTCTCATATGCAGCAGAGTGCCAGTACTAGTGCTGCTCTACATTTTGGTGAACTGGCGAGCACCAGCGGCCTCGTACACCCTGGTCTTTCACATACCAGCACTGCAGTATCACTTGGTGACGTGGCGAGTCCCATAAGTGCAGTAGCTGGTGCGGTGGTGAGCACAAGTAGTGTCCCGCAGCCACCAAGAATTCACAGACAGGCCCGTAGAGCCCCTAGTATCCTTCTGGATGTGCTGGCAAATCCCGATTGCAGCCCACAGATTCTGCAGCACCCGCACTTCCCCCATTCACTGCCCAATCTGGAATTCAGGTGGAAACAGCAAATTTAACTACTACCCTTGATTTTGTGGAGCTCTTTTTCATGGAAGATCTTTATGCATTGATTGTGGATCAAAGCAATTTATATGCACAACAGTTTATCACCGCCAACCCAAATGCAAACCTTGCCATACCATTCGCATGGAAACCTATTACGATTTCCGAATTTAACGTTTTTTTTGGGCCTAACCCTCAACATGGGCATTAATAAAAAAAATGAATTGCGGTTGTATTGGTCCACAGACCCGATTCATCATATGCCGTGTTCTCTGCTGCCAATACCAGGCATAGATATGAGAATATAATGTGTTTTATGCATTTCAACGACAATACACTCTGTCATTCTCGGGGTGATCCTGAGTTTGACTGGCTCCACAAAAGTCGGCCCCTCGTAAATTACCTTAACCAAAAATTTGCAGATGTCTATACTCCCCAGCAAAACATCTGCGTTGATGAGTCCCTTGTTAATTTTTCTGGCCGCCTTGCATTCAAACAATTTCTCCCCAGCAAGTGTGCCAGATATGGGGTCAAGATGTAGAAGACCTCTGAGAGGACAACAGGCTATACTTATAAGTTTCAGATTTACGAGGGAAAAGATAGTCACGTGGAGCCCCCCGGATGCCCAGACTACATGGGGAGCAGTGGCAAGATAGTTTGGGACTTGGTGTCATCCTTTTTCCACATGGGGTACCACTTATACGTGGACAATTTTTATTCAAGCGTGCCACTATTTAGACATTTGTACAATCTTGGAATTGGCGCATGTGGCACCGTGTGACCAAATCGCCGGGGCTTCCCCCAATGATTTGTAAATATCCGTCTTAGAATGTGGGAAAAAGCCTGCTTGAGAAATGGGGAATTCCTCGCAGTGAAGTTGGACAAACGGGATGTTTTCATCCTGTCTTCCATTCACGCAGATACCCCTCTGCCATCCAAATTTCCGCGGCTGGAAAAGCAGCTGGTGTGTCAGTTGAGAAGCCCCTCTGTGTCCACGACAATAACCTTAACATGGGAGGGGTGGACTACAACGACCAGATGATGAAGCCGTGATCAATCAGTGATCACATAAAGAGTAGTAAGCAAGATGTCACTTCCTGACATCATTGCTTACTACTAGTGAAATCTGTGAATGATCACAGAGATCACATGGTACAGGGCCATTCACAACAGCCTTGTACCATGTGACAAGCTGTGACCAATTACAGCTCACACAGTATTTCTCAATGGCTGCAAGAATGCAGCCAGAGAGAAGGAGAAATGATTGCTTTTACAGCCTTTATGGGTGTAAAGGCAATCCGTGTAAGAAAAAAAAAAAATCTTCATCACCCCACAAGTAGTACAGTGTCACTATGGTGACACTATACTATTAGGGTGACAGTATGTAAAAAATAAAAAAAAACATAAATTATATAAAAAAATAAAAATGTAAAAACATTTTTTGAAAAATTATAATTTTTTACTAAAAAGATAGATGAATACATTTTGGCCAAGATTTCTGAAGAAAGATTATTTATTTGCACAATTTTATAAGAAAAACACTTTTTTTTTCAAAATTTTTGGACTTTTTCATTTATATAGCAAAAAAAAAAAAAAAAAATCCCAGTAGTGGATAAAAACCACCAAAATAAAGCTTTATCGGTCTCAAAAAAATGCTAAAAAATTCATATGGGTACAGTGTTGCACGACTGCGCAATTGTCGTTCAAAATGTGATAGTGCTGAAAGCTGAAAATTGGCCTGGACAGGAAGGGGGGTGAAAGTGTCCGGACAGGAAGGGGGGGAAAGTGTCCGGACTGGAAGGGGGGTGAAAGTGTCCGGACAGGAAGGGGGGAAAGTGTCCGGACTGGAAGGGGGTAAAAGTGTCCCGACTGGAAGGGGGTAAAAGTGTCCGGACTGGAAGGGGGTGAAAGTGTCCCGGACTGGAAGGGGGTGAAAGTGTCCCGACTGGAAGGGGGTGAAAGTGTCCCGACTGGAAGGGGGTGAAAGTGTCCCGACTGGAAGGGGGTTAAAGTGTCCGGACTGGAAGGGGGGTGAAAGTGTCCGGACTGGAAGGGGGGTGTTGGAAAGTGTCCGGACTGGAAGGGGGGGTAAAAGTGTCCGGACTGGAAGGGGGGTAAAAGTGTCCGGACTGGAAGGGGGGGTTAAAAGTGTCCGGACTGGAAGGGGGGTGAAAGTGTCCGGACTGGAAGGGGGGTGAAAGTGTCCGGACTGGAAGGGGGGTGAAAAGTGTCCGGACTGGAAGGGGAGTGAAAGTGTCCGGACTGGAAGGGGGTGAAAGTGTCCGGACCAGGAAGGGGGGGAAAAGTGTCCGGACTGGAAGGGGGGTGAAAGTGTCCGGACTGGAAGGGGGGGAAAGTGTCCGGACTGGAAGGGGGGGTGAAAGTGTCCGGACTGGAAGGGGGGTGAAAGTGTCCGGACAGGAAGGGGGTAAAAGTGTCCGGACTGGAAGGGGGGTGAAAGTGTCCGGACAGGAAGGGGGGGAAAGTGTCCGGACAGGAAGGGGGTAAAAGTGTCCGGACAGGAAGGGGGGTAAAAGTGTCCGGACTGGAAGGGGGGTGTGAAAGTGTCCGGACTGGAAGGGGTGAAAGTGTCGGACTGGAAGGGGGGTGAAAGTGTCCGGACTGGAAGGGGGGTGAAAGTGTCCGGACTGGAAGGGGGGTGAAAGTGTCCGGACTGGAAGGGGGGTGGATGGGGTGAAAGTGTCCGGACTGGAAGGGGGGTGAAAGTGTCCGGACTGGAAGGGGGGTGAAAGTGTCCGGACTGGAAGGGGGGTGAAAGTGTCCGGACTGGAAGGGGGGTGAAAGTGTCCGGACTGGAAGGGGGGTGAAAGTGTCCGGACTGGAAGGGGGGTGAAAGTGTCCGGACTGGAAGGGGGGTGAAAGTGTCCGGACTGGAAGGGGGGTGAAAGTGTCCGGACTGGAAGGGGGGTGAAAGTGTCCGGACTGGAAGGGGGGTGAAAGTGTCCGGACAGGAAGGGGGTAAAAGTGTCCGGACAGGAAGGGGGGTGAAAGTGTGGACAGGAAGGGGGGGAAAAGTGTCCGGACTGGAAGGGGGTAAAAGTGTCCGGACTGGAAGGGGGGTGAAAGTGTGTCCGGACAGGAAGGGGGTAAAAGTGTCCGGACTGGAAGGGGGTAAAAGTGTCCGGACTGGAAGGGGGTGAAAGTGTCCGGACTGGAAGGGGGTGAAAGTGTCCGGACTGGAAGGGGGTAAAAGTGTCCGGACTGGAAGGGGGGTGAAAGTGTCCGGACTGGAAGGGGTTAAACATGTTACATGAGATTTTTTTTTTTTCCTTTTTAAAGTTTGTATAGATGAGGAATATTCTGTAGGCTCTCACCCCTTTCCTCAATGTTTCTGTCCGCAGGCCAGTTACGGGGTGGAGCACCCAGAGTACGCGGTGACGCAGTTAGCGCAGACCACCATGCGCTCTGAGCTGGGGAAACTGACACTGGACAAGGTGTTTCGGGTGAGTCTGCACATACTCTGCTCACTAATCATTCAGAGGTTTCTTGTTTTTTTTTGTTTTTTTTCTGTTAACCCGAAAGTTCAGTTTAATGTCCGATTGAACTTTCAGCTCAAATCAACTAAATGTATCCCAGGAGCACCAAAGCAAAAAGACTAGTAAAGTGTTTTTTGTTTTTTTTTAAATAAAGTAAGCGGCTACAGCCTCATCAGAAAATATGAAAAAGAGAGAGGAGGGCGCCTCTAAGTGCAGTATTGACAGTTTATTAACCTCTTCACGCCGGCCAAACGCAAGTGTGCGGCCTCCCGGGGTCTGGGCCTAGACGCCGAGCGGACGCACATTTACGTTTTTTTAAAAAAAGGACATATGTGCCGAGAGCGCACGCCCTGCGTGCTCCCAGCACACATGTCCGGTACTTATGGAAAGGTCCCCATCTCCTCTTTCAATGGGGACCTTTCCGATCATGTGACCGCCGTGTCATGGTGGTCACATGACCCTAAACCCCACCCCGCCCCCCCGCCTCCCGGCATCTGAAACTCTTAAAGGGCCGGGAGGCGCCGGCGTGAAGGGGTTAATGAACAATCGATAAAGTGCACTTACAAGATAAATAGGCTCAGAGTTCTGAAGAAGGAGCCTACTGAGCATGCTCCGAAATGCATTTCTGCCCCCGTTCACCTCCTACATCTGACTCTGCTCTCCAAGCCTCATTTTGATTCAGAGGTACATCCTGGACTCTACTTCCTGATCCTATAGAAAAGAGTTTGCTGCTGGACGGCTGGGTGTCTCACCTGGATCTTATTACACCACACGATGAGTCTTTTTAACTATTTATCTTGTAAGTGCGACTTATCTATTGTTCATTAACCCCTTGGCTCCGGCGCCTCCTGGCCCTTTAAGGGTTTCAGGAGGCGGGGTACAGGGTCACGGCAGTCATATGATCAGGAAAGGTCCCGATCGAAAGAGGAGATAGAGACCTTTCCGTGAGTACCGGATATGTGTGCTGGGAGCAGGCAGGGCGCGCGCTCTCAGCACATATGTTTTTCTTCATTGCACGCAAATGTGCGGCCGCTTGGCGTCAAGGCCCAGACACCGGGAGGCTGCACATTTGCGTGCGGCCGACGCCAAGAGGTTAATAAATTGTCAGTACTGCACTTAGAGGCGCCTTCCTCTCTTTTTCTTGTTACTGCATTAGAGCCTTGCTTCCACTCTAAGAAGAGCTGCCTACGTGTTACTTCTCCCATCCATCCATCCATCCCTGATATCCATCTGGCACCTTTATCCTACAGCTGCAGAGGTTGGGCTCCAACAAGCGCGCAGCCCTATATAATATACATAGCCTGATCAGAAAAGCCTGTCCCCTGCCACCATGCTACAATGAAGGACCCTTGCTTTGTGTAAGCAGTGGTCTCTCTGCGGAGGTCCAGCATGCTTCAGCCTGTCCTCTGCCAGCATGCTACAATGAAGGACCTTTGCTTTCTGTAAGTAGTGGTCTCTCTGCGGAGGTCCAGCATGCTTCAGCCTGTCCTCTGCCAGCATGCTACAATGAAGGAGCCTTGCTTTCTGTAAGCAGTGGTCTCTCTGCAGAGGTCCAGCCCTTTAAGAGTTTCAGAAGCCGGTAGGTGGGGCGGGGTTTAGGGTCATGTGACACGCCGTCACAGCGGTCACATGATCGGCAAAGGTCCCGATTGAAAGAGGAGATCAGGACCTTTCCGTTCGTACTGGACATGTGTGCTGGGAGCATGCAGGGCGCGCTCTCTCAGCACATATGTTTTTTTTTTTAATAGAATGCAAATGTACGGGCGCTCGGCGTCTAGCCCCAGACGCCGGGATGGCGCACATTTGCGTTCGACCAGCGCGAAGAGTTTAATGGTAAAATAAGAGTTCAAGAACTCTATTACTTTGAGGCGGATTGACTGATTGCTAACGCTGTCAGAGTGTGAGGAAAGTACTGCCAAGAACCGGCAGTTGTCAGAGCAGGGATCAGCACTGATGATCAGTGCCCAGCAGTGCCACCCACCAGTGCCGCCCCCCTGTGCCCATCAGTGCAACCCGTCAGTGCCACCTCATTAGTGCCGCCTATCAGTGCCACCTCATTAGTGCCGCCCATCAGTGCCGCCTATCAGTGCCACCTCATTAGTGCTGCCTATCAGTGCCGCCTCATCAACGCACATCAGTGAAGGAGAAAAATTACCTGTTTGCAAAATTTTATAATAGAAACAAAGAAACTTTTTTTTTTTTTTAAATTTTTTGCTCTTTTTTTTTTTTTTTTTTATTGTTTATAGCTCAAAAAATAAAACTTCCAGCGGTGAGTACATGCCACCAAAAGAAAACTCTATTTGTGAGAAAAAAATGATGATAAAAATGTCATATGGGTACAGTGTTGCATGAACGCGCAATTGTCATTCAAAGTGTGACAGCACTGAAAGCTGAACATTGACCTGGACAGGAAGGGGGTATAAGTGTCTGGTAGGCGAGGGGTTAAAATGGTAGCTTTTTCCAATTCCCTCCTGAAGTAAATCAGCAAAACGAGCAATTAGGACGGAGTCCCCTGAGTAGTGTGAGGGTACAGAAGGATAAGCAGGAGAGTCCACTGGACCTGCAGGAGCTGAATCCTGGCCGCTGATTGGCTGGTGAATATGTCAGCCATTTCCCTGTCTAGCAGGGAGGAAGCCTGGGAATCGTGGCCTGGTGACAGGGCTGCAGCCTGAGGAGGAGACCTGGTGGGGCTAGAGAGGGACCCAGAGGGAGCGGAGTGAACATGAGCCGGGGAGCCAGGGGGGGGGGGCGTCACTATGCGTCCCAGGACTGGAGGAGGGGAGCTGGGCCCGCTGTGGTTTAGGCTGTTTTTCCTCAACAACTGAAGAGCTCCGGGAGACGGGGTCGGCTGCCATCTTGCCCCCCCCCTCCCTTCATTGTGGGCGGCGTGGGAGCCGTCCGCAGATCTCCCAGCCGATTGGGTGGGCATCGGAGTTCCCCCCACCCCCCCTCCGAAAGCAGGCCTTGTAAGTGGCAGGGAGGAATGGGGTCGGGAGCCGCAAATTATTCCCCCTAAGGAGCCGGGAATGTGCGGAGCGGCTAGATCTGCATCCGCTCCGGCTGCCCACGCATGCGCTCTCCCTCTGAAGCAGTCATTTTTCCATGTATGAGTTGATATGGCTCATCGAAGGTAGAAGGTAGAAGGGCTGCAGCTGATACAGCCAGGTACATTTATCTAAAAGAGGAACAGAAGTTCTGGGAGAGATTAAGGGGGGATATGATGTATAATACATAAGAGTGTCTATAAGGGGGGATATGATCTCCATGTATAATACATAAGGGGGAATGGAGGAGAACAACGGGGGGAGATCTCCATTATATACATAAGGGGGGATATTTTATAAAGAGAACAGGAGGGGATGTGAGTCTCCATGTATAATACATAAGGGGGGATATGATCTCCATGTATAATACATAAGGGGGGATATGATCTCCATGTATAATACATAAGGGGGATATGATCTCCATGTATAATACATAAGGGGGGGGGGATATGATCACCATGTATAATACATAAGGGGGGGATATGATCACCATGTATAATACATAAGGGGGGGATATGATCTCCATGTATAATACATAAGGGGGATATGATCTCCATGTATAATACATAAGGGGGGATATAATACGATCTCCATGTATAATACATAAGGGGGGTTCTCCATGTATGATATGATCTCCATGTATAATACATAAGGGGGGATATGATCTCCATGTATAATACATAAGGGGGGGGATATGATCTCCATGTATAATACATAAGGGGGGGATATGATCTCCATGTATAATACATAAGGGGGGATATGATCTCCATGTATAATACATAAGGGGGGGATATGATCTCCATGTATAATACATAAGGGGGGATATGATCTCCATGGGGGGAGGATATGATCTCCATGTATAATCTCCATGTCCATGTATAAATACATAAGGGGGGATATGATCTCCATGTATAATACATAAGGGGGGATATGATCTCCATGTATAATACATAAGGGGGGATATGATCTCCATGTATAATACATAAGGGGGGATATGATCTCCATGTATAATACATAAGGGGGGATATGATCTCCATGTATAATACATAAGGGGGATATGATCTCCATGTATAATACATAAGGGGGGATATGATCTCCATGTATAATACATAAGGGGGGATATGATCTCCATGTATAATACATAAGGGGGATATGATCTCCATGTATAATACATAAGGGGGGATATGATCACCATGTATCATCACAGAGGACAAGGGGGCTCTCTTTACTTCTGGAGGAAAAGAAATGTAATCTCCTAACACGGAAAGGTTTCTTCACAGTGAGAGCTGTGAGAATGTGGAATAGACTCCCTCAAGAATTGGTTGTGGCCAGCTCAGTGGATTGCTGTAGGAAAGTCCTGGATTCTTTCTTGGATACACAGAATATAACTGGATATAACATTTATAGGGAAAGTTGATCCAGGGAATATCCGATTGGCTCTTGGGGGATCAGGAAGTATTTTTTTCCCCTGCAGGAGCAAATTGGATCGTGCTTTGCTGGTTTTTTTGCCTTCCTCTGTGTCAATTGTGGGTGTAGGATTATAACTTTTTTTTTTTTTTCTATGGTTGAACTGGATGCACTTTTGTCTTTTTTCAGCCAGACAAACTATGTAACAACATTGCCCGAAATGGATTTTAAGCATGAGCACTTTCAACATCAGTGGTGTTGGTCACACATGTGATATATGGATTGATCTATTGAATCAATTCTTTTGTATTTTGTTGTTAAGATCTATTTGAAATCATGATTTGCACAGCATCCCGTTCTATACTTAGTTTTATGTTTTATATGTATCAGCAGCTCTACATAATTTATTTTCATTATAAAGCAACTGCATTACTTTGTCATAAATCTGCCCCCACCCCTTCGCTTTTTATTGTTAAAGGGCCAGAAAAGAGTTGTGCAGCTCGTGTCCAGTGGAAAAATCTTCTGACTATTATCATTTTCATGAAGCTGTCAGTTTATTATGCTTTTGTGTGGTTTTTTTTAGCTTTGCATCCATGTGGTGTTTGACTTCTTTCCCTAGTTACTATTAAATCCATGAACTGATTTTGCATTGATCATATATTTTTCAGGAGAGAGAATCTCTGAACGCCAACATTGTGGACGCAATAAACCAGGCCTCCGATTTCTGGGGGATCAAATGCCTGCGGTATGAGATTAAAGACATTAACGTGCCTCCTAAGGTCAGGGAGGCCATGCAGATGCAGGTAAAAATTGCAGGTCTGTTAAAAAAAAAAAAAAAAAAAAAAAATGACTGTAGTTGGGCTTTAATTAAACCAAAAAATGTAATATATTTCAGCCTGCCAGTCTGTTGATGTGGTGGCTGCATTAGTTTTCTTTTTTATTAGGCTTTTTTGCCCCTTTATTTTCACCTGATGATCCTGCCAGTAACACACTTTCTGTCCTAAGGTGACTGCGTTATCTAACCGCACCGTATCTGTGGAAAAGCTATTCTGTCAGCCTAGGCTGCTCTCCTGATTAACCAGTTCCCAACCGCGCCATAGCCGAAGGACAGCTACAGCACGGTTGTGTAATCCTGGGACGTCCATTCCCAGAACACGCCCCCCTGCGCGCCCTCAGCGGCGTGCACCCAGCGCTGCCGGTAATCGCTGTGTCCAATGACACAGCAGGTCCCCGGATAAATACAGTTGCCGGTTATTATTATTATTATTATACAGTATTTATATAGCGCTGAAAGGTTTTCTCAGCGCTGTACAATATAGTGGGGGACAGAACATGAGACAAGACAGTAACAATACAATACTCGAGGGCCCTGTTCCCTGGAGCTTACAATCTAGGAGATCAGCTGCACTTTCCTCACACTGTCACAGCATCAGGAAAGTACTGCCAAGAACCGGCAATTGTCAGCGAAGGGATCGGCACTGATTGGTGCCCAGAAGTGCCACCCACCAGTTCCGCCCACCTGTTCCCAGCAGCCAATCAGTGATCACATGCAGAGTAGTAAGCAAGATGTCACTTCCTGACATCATTGCTTACTATGTGTGAGATCACATGGTACAGGGCCATTCACAACAGCCTTGTACCATGTGACAAGCTGTGACCAATCACAGCTCACACAGTATTTCTCAATGGCTGCAAGAATGCAGCCAAAGAGATAGAGAAATGATTGCTTTTACAGCCTTTATCGATGTAAAAGCAATCAGTGTAAAGAAAAAAAAAAAAAAAATCTTCATCACCCCTCTTAAGTGTCACCATGGTGACATGTACTGCTAGGGTGACAGTATGTAAAAAAAAAAAACATAAATATTAAAAAAGTAAATACATTTTTTTTTATTTTTTTTTTTAAATTATCATTTTTGGTTATAAACTACTTTGGTTTATGTTTTTTTACTAAAAAGATAACTGAATACATTTTGACGAAAATTTATGAAGAGAGATTATTTATTTTCAAAATTTTATAAGAAAAACACTTTTTTTTCAAAAGTTTTGGACTTTTTCATTTTAATAGCGAAAAAAAATTAAAATTCCAGCGGTGAATAAATACCACCAAAATAATCTGTCTCAAAAAAATGCTAAGATATTCATTTGGGTACAGTGTTGCATGACCGCGCAATTGTCATTCAAAGTGTGACAGCGCTGAAAATTGGCCTGGACAGGAAGGGGGGGAAAGTGTCCGGACTGGAAGGGGTTAAACATGAACAAAAAAAATGCAACAGCTCCGGCAGCGAAAAGGGTTACAATTTTGTAACTGTGGAAGGTTTCCAAGGGTATCCCAGACATTTAATTGCTGTAAATGGTTGTCACCAGGGGCAGACTGACCATTCGAGCACTCGGGCACGCCCGGGGTCAGTAGGGGGCCCCATGAAATGCCCCTGGTACCTTTTTATAGCCTTTTTTGGGTGTGGTTTGAGTGTGGGTGAGGACACAGGGGCCCCATGATACCCTATTGCCCGGGGGCCCCATGAGTTGTCAGTCCGCCCCTGGTTGTCACATAAGTGGGAGCTCCTACCACCGGCTGCACATTGTTGCCACGTGACCGGGAGCTGTCGGGGTGCAAGTGAGAATGCTCCCAGCACAGAGCACCGGGCGCTGGCTGTGTACATGTATGTGGTTGCACTTTGTTAAAGCGTCGTGCGGCCACATGTATGCGTACAGTCGGTAGCAACACGTTAACGTGAATGGGATGGGGAAAGCTAGGACAGATCTTTCAACAACTAAAAAGGTAAGCAGACATTTTTTTTTCTTTAATTTACGCTGTGCGAATTCTCCCACCTTGGCTGCTATTACATTTGTATTACACGGCTAAAAGGATAAAAATGTGAATGATGTTATGGAAACAGAAAGCCAATAAAATGGTCTCCTAATAGTTTCTGCTGTGTACTAATCTAAAACATTTGCTGGTTCAATGCAAAGTAATGTGAAGTCTTATGTAATGCAGTGAAATCTTCATGAGGATCGTTACATTGTGTACAAATTCCTGCTCACCGTTCTCACAATTAAATCTGAACTCCGGCTTCTCTAATCATTCATACTTCCTTAACCACTTCCAGTCCGGACACTTTCCCCCCCTTCCAGTCCGGACACTTTCCCCCCCCTTCCAGTCCGGACACTTTCCCCCCCCCCCCTTCCAGTCCGGACACTTTCCCCCCCCTTCCAGTCCGGACACTTTCCCCCCCCCTTCCAGTCCGGACACTTTCCCCCCCTTCCAGTCCGGACACTTTCCCCCCCTTCCAGTCCGGACACTTTCCCCCCCCCTTCCAGTCCGGACACTTTCACCCCCTTCCAGTCCGGACACTTTCACCCCCTTCCAGTCCGGACACTTTCCCCCCCCCTTCCGGTCCGGACACTTTCACCCCCTTCCGGTCCGGACACTTCCCCCCCCTTCCGGTCCGGACGCTTCCCCCCCCCTTCCGGTCCGGACGCTTTCCCCCCCCTTCCGGTCCGGACGCTTTCCCCCCCTTCCGGTCCGGACGCTTTCCCCCCCCCTTCCGGTCCGGACGCTTTCCCCCCCTTCCGGTCCGGACGCTTTCCCCCCCCTTCCGGTCCGGACGCTTTCCCCCCCTTCCGGTCCGGACGCTTTCCCCCCCCTTCCGGTCCGGACGCTTTCCCCCCCCCTCCGGTCCGGACGCTTTCCCCCCCTTCCGGTCCGGACGCTTTCCCCCCCCTTCCGGTCCGGACGCTTTCCCCCCCCTTCCAGTCCGGACGCTTTCGCCCCCCTTCCAGTCCGGACGCTTTCGCCCCCCTTCCAGTCCGGACGCTTTCGCCCCCCTTCCAGTCCGGACGCTTTCGCCCCCCTTCCAGTCCGGACGCTTTCCCCCCCCCCCCTTCCAGTCCGGACGCTTTCGCCCCCCTTCCAGTCCGGACGCTTTCCCCCCCCCCCCTTCCAGTCCGGACGCTTTCACCCCCCCCCCTTCCAGTCCGGACGCTTTCTACCCCCCCCCCCTTCCAGTCCGGACGTTTTACCCCCCCCCCCCTTCCAGTCCGGACGCTTTACCCCCCCCCCCCCCTTCCAGTCCGGACGCTTCCCCTTCCCCCCCTTCCAGTCCAATTTTCAGCTTTCAGCGCTGTCACGCGTTGAATGACAATTGCGCGGTCATGCAACACTGTACCCATATGAATTTTTTAGCATTTGTTTGAGACAGATAAACCTTTATTTTGGTGGTATTTATTCACCGCTGGGATTTTTATTTTTTTGCTATGTAAATGAAAAAGTCCAAAAATTTTGAAAAAAAAGCGTTTTTCTTATACAATTTTACAAATAATATTTCATTATCAATCTTGGCCAAAATTGATTCTGTTATCTTTTTAGTACAAAAAAAAAAACCCAAATTAGTTTATAACCAAAAATTAAAATTTGTAAACTTTTTTTTACAGTTTTTATTTAATTTTTTTATATTATTTTTTTTTTTTTTTACATACTGTCACCCTAGCAGTACAGTGTCACCATGGTGACACTCTACTACTTGTGGGGGGTGATGAAGATTTTTTTTTTTTTTTACACTGATTACTTTTACACCCATAAAGGCTGTAAAAGCAATCATTTCTCCTTCTCTCTGGCTGCATTCTTGCAGCCATTGAGAAATACTGTCTGAGCTGTGATTGGTCACAGCTTGTCACATGGTACAAGGCTGTTGTGAATAGCCCTGTACCATGTGACCTCTGTGATCATTCACAGATTTCACGAGTAGTAAGCAATGATGTCAGAAGTGATATCTTGCTTACTACTCTGCATGTGATCACTGATTGGCCAATCAGTGATCACATGATCGGGACCTCACACAGAGGCCCCGTACGACGATCGGTGATCCACTGCATCTGGAGGACACAGTGGGCACTGGATTGCGGTGCTGCGTACTCCCAGGGAGCGCGCACAAGCGGGAAATGAGGAGGACATTTATAAACGCCCACCCACCCCTGCACTGCCACCGTCCGGCCGTTTATATGCAACGGCCGGACGGGAGGTGGTTAACCCCTTGTTGACCCGCCGCAGTACATATAATGCGGTCAGGCAGCTCGTACAGGCACCATGATGTACCTGTAGGTTACAGATTTTTTCTGCGCTCCCCGGCCTCCTACTCCTGTGATTTAACACAGCGGGAATTCATCGACAGATCCCAGCCAATGATTCAGAGCCGGGACCTGCTGATTGGCGAATCACAGCCTAGAGCCCTGTGTTGATAAACAACACAGGGCTCTATACAAAGCAGGGGAAAGAAACAAATCGATCTTTAGTTAAAAAAAAAAAACACAGCACGCACATTAACACTTGTTAGGCACAAAATTAACCCCTTGGTTGCCTCTAGATGTTAACCCCTTCCCAGCCAGTGTATATTAGCACTGATCACGGCATTGGTATCACTGGAGATGTCAGTGTCATTTAGGCAGTTCCCACCCAGCTTGATTTAGGCTGGCCATACACTATACAATTTTCTTTTCAATTTCTGTCCAACTTCCTTTAGGTTTACCTTCAACTATGTAGTGCAAGGGCCTGCTTAATTGGATACAATTGAAAGTGTTGTTAGGTTTGACCTCCTATTATATGGTTTTTTTTAGTAAATCTAAAGCAATCTTCGAAAGTAAATTGTATAATGTATGGTCAGCCTAAGTGTCAGATTAGACATTCCAGCAGACTTTTATTGCCATTCATTTGTTTTCAGGTGGAGGCGGAGAGGAGGAAGAGAGCCATGGTGTTAGAATCTGAAGGGACCAGGGAGTCTGCTATTAATGTGGCTGAGGGTCAGAAACAGGCCCAGATCCTGGCTTCCGAGGCTGAGAGAGCCGAACAAATCAACAAAGCAGCAGGTGAGTCCCATCTGTGTTCTCTGACAGTCCTAACTTACATACATACAACCAATGGGTGTAGAGATGAGGTCAGCCCAGCATGTCCCCTTACTACAGCTCAATGCCAGCTACTCCGGTCATATGATGATTGTGCTTACTGGTGGTGAAAGCCTCGTTCCACTTTTTCTCTTTTTGAAGTCCCACATTACCATGTGTAAGTGTGGTGTGCTCCAGGAGTACTGGAAACCTAAGGAGGGGCGATTACACACGCTTCGTGGGCGGGTCCATGACAACCTGGGAACAGGGGAAGTGGGTCGAATGATCTATGATCTCATTCAACCCAGAAAAGCATTCTGGCAGAGAGAGGCATAAGTGGGATTGGACACAGAGAGGGATTGGTATAAGTTGGACACAGAGACAGAGCCTGGCTAAGTGGGGAGGGACACACAGAGAGGGGTTAGTGAGGCCAAGACACATATGGTAGAGGGGGACTGGCATAGGTCAGATGGAGAGAGAGAGAGTAGACGACTGGCATAGTTGGGGCCGGACACACAGAGAGGGACTGGCATAAGTCGGGTCGGACACACACAGAGGGGACTGGCATAAGTCGGGTCGGACACACAGAGAGGGACTGGCATAAGTCGGGTCGGACACAAAGAGAGGGACTGGCATAAGTCGGGTCGGACACACAGAGAGGGACTGGCATAAGTCGGGTCGGACACACAAAGAGGGACTGGCATAAGTTTGGTCGGACACACAGAGGGACTGGCATAAGTCTGGTCGGACACACAGAGGGACTGGCATAAGTCTGGTCGGACACACAGAGGGACTGGCATAAGTCGGGTTGGACGCACAGAGAGACTGACGAGGCCAAGACACATAGAGGGGGACTGGCATAGGACAGTTAGAGAGAGAGGTAGACTGGCATAGGTGGGGTCAGACACACAGAGAGGGACTGGCATAAGTCGGGTCGGACACACAGAGAGGGACTGGCATAAGTCGGGTCGGACACAAAGAGAGGGACTGGCATAAGTCGGGTCGGACACAAAGAGAGGGACTGGCATAAGACGGGTCGGACACGCAGAGAGGGACTGGCATAAGTCAGGTCGGACACGCAGAGAGGGACTGGCATAAGTCAGGTCGGACACGCAGAGAGGGACTGGCATAAGTCAGGTCGGACACGCAGAGAGGGACTGGCATAAGTCAGGTCGGACACGCAGAGAGGGACTGGCATAAGTCGGGTCGGACACGCAGAGAGGGACTGGCATAAGTCGGGTCGGACACGCAGAGAGGGACTGGCATAAGACGGGTCGGACACACAGAGAGGGACTGATGAGGCCAAGACATATAGAGGGGGACTGGCATAGGTCAGTTAGAGAGAGAGGTAGACTGGCATAGGTGGGGTCAGACACACAG